ATATGGCCAAGTTTAAAAATTCTACCGTTAGTTTTATTTATAGGTCTTTGTTTGTTAAAGAAAACAGATTCTTAACTATTTATGCAATGTTATATGCGCGTTTCTAGTCATCCAACTTTGCCGATGTTTTCTATCATTTATTTTTTGTGCGCTCAAATTTTGGATATATTTTAGACAATATAAAATCTATATTATGCTTGAGTTTAAAAATTCCCGTGTATGGTTAACTATAAACTTTGTTTATCGAATAATGGATGCCAACTCACGGTTTTGATAAAGTACTATTCCACATATTTTGTGCGCTCTCCAGATTTTGGATATGATAACAATTTGGTATATCTACAATATGGCCAAGTTTAAAAATTCTACCGTGTAGTTTTATTTATAGGCTGTTTGTTAAAGAACCGGAATTCTTAACAATTATGGATTATATTTGCGCATTCGTATCAAAATCCGACTTGTCGATGATTCTATCATTTATTTTTGTGCCACCTCCAGATTTTGGATATATTTTAGACAATATAATTATCTATATTCTATTGGTTAAAAATTCTACCGTGTAGTTTTTATTTATGGGCTTTGTTTGTTTTGAAACCGGATTCTAAAGCGTAATTTATAAGATCTGTTACCATTCGTGTCATCCGACTTTATCGATGATTTTCTATCATTTATTTTTGTGCCACCTCAGATTTGGATATGTTATGACAATAAAAATATCTACAATATGGCCAAGTTTAAAAATTCATGTGGATTTTTTATTTATAGGCCTTTGTTTGCAAAGTTACCTGGACATAGGAAGTTAATTATTAAATATTATATTACGCGTATTCGTGTCATCCGACTTTGTCGATGATTTTCTATCATTTATTTTTTTGTGCCACCTCCAGATTTTGGATATATTTTAGACAATAAAATTATCTATATTCTGGCCAAGTTTAAAAAAATTCTACCGTGTAGTTTTTAGCTATAGAGCTGTTTGTCGAATGTGGTGCCAACTTCACGGTTTATACCAGAGTACATTCTCAAGGAATATTATTTCTTTATTTTTTTGTGCCACCTCCAGATTTTGGATATATTTTAGACAATGAGAATATCTACAATATGGCCAAGTTTAAAAAATTTCTACCGTGTAGTTTTTTATTTATAAGGCTTTGTTTGTTAAAGAACCGGAATTCTTAACTTAAATATATAAGATTATATTACGCGCATTCGTGTCATCCGACTTTGTCGATGATTTTCTATCATTTATTTTTGTGCCACCTCCAGATTTTGGATATATTTTAGACAATATAATTATCTATATTCTGGCCAAGTTTAAAAAAATTCTACCGTGTAGTTTTTTATTTATAGGCCTTTGTTTGAAAAATTACATGGATATAGGAAGTTAATTATATAGATTATATTACGCGCATTCGTGTCATCCGACTTTGTCGATGATTTTCTACAACTTATTTTTTGTGCCACCTCCAGATTTTGGATATATTTTAGATAATATAATTATCTATATTCTGGCTAAGTTTAAAAATTTCTACCGTGTAGTTTTTTATTTATAGGCCTTTCTTTGAAAATTACATGGATATAGGAAGTTAATTATATAAGATTATATTACGCGCATTCGTGTCATCCGACTTTGTCGATGATTTTCTATCATTTATTTTTTTGTGCCACCTCCAGATTTTGGATATATTTTAGACAATATAATTATCTATATTCTGGCCAAGTTTAAAAAAATTCTACCGTGTAGTTTTTTATTTATAAGGCTTTGTTTGTTTTAGAACCGGAATTCTAAACGTAATTATATAAGATCATATTACATGCATTCGTGTCATCCGACTTTGTCGATGATTTTCTATCATTTAT